CACACACACACCGTGAACACACACCCGGAGCAGCGGGCAGCCTTTTTTGCTGCGGCGCCCGGGGAGCAGTTGGGGGTTCGGTGCCTTGCTCAAGGGCACCTCAGTCGTGGTATTGAAGGTGGGAGAGAGCACTGTACATTCACTCCTCCCTGCCGGTACGAGACTCGAACCCGCAACCTTTGGGTTACAAGTCCTCTAACCATTCGGCCACGACTTCCCCTCATGGAAGTCTTTCAACTTTGCCCACTCAAGTCGGTTACGACGACGAACTGCAGTCAGGTTGAGACCCCGATGAGGACGACGAGCATGCAGATGAGCTTCCCTGAAGTTTGTGCAGAAATTCAGTTTGTGCAGAAATTCTTTGGTTATGCATTATATTGCATATATAATGATTGTTGCAGCAGCTGTCCGGGTGGCTGGTCTCAGACGACCTTGGAGGTGATGATGCTGGATGTGGAGGTCCTGGGCTGGTGTGGTTACACGTGGTCTGCGGTTGTGAGGCCGGTTGGATGTACTGCCAAATTCTCTGAAACGCCTTTGGAGATGGCTTATGGTAGAGAAATTAACATTCAATTCATGGGCAACAGCTCTGGTGGACATTCCTGCAGTCAGCATACCAATTGCACGCTCCCTCAAAACTTGCGACATCTGTGGCATTGTGCTGTATGATAAAACTGCACATTTTAGAGTGGCCTTTTATTGTGGCCAGCCTAAGGCACACCTGTGCAATAATCATGCTGTCTAATCAGCATCTTGATATGCCACACCTGTGAGGTGGATGGATTATCTCGGCAAAGGAGAAGTGCTCACTAACACAGATTTAGACAGATTTGTGAACAATATTTGAGAGAAATAGGCCTTTTGTGTACATAGAAAAAGTCTTAGATCTTTGAGTTCAGCTCATGAAAAATGGGGGCAAAAACAAAAGTGTTGCGTTTATAATTTTGTTCAGTGTATATAACGCCGAAGGAGTTCCCCATAGTGACCACTAGAGGATGCAGTTCGAGTTCCCTCGGAAGGGAACTTAATTATCCAGAATTCAATGTTTTAAAGCTTACTATATTCTAACAATGTAAGAACATTTGGGTAACACTTTCTATGAAGCCCTTATTTATAATACATTTTAAGGGTATAATGTTATCCTTAAGGCATTATAATGAATGCATAATGCATTATAAAAAACCTTATAATATGTTGTATCATCTCATAAATAATCATAACAACAATTATAATACATTGTAATACTTACAAATTTGTGGTTATAACTTTTAAGAGTATGATTAATAATAATAATAATTAGTAAATAACAATTAATTCCATATTAAATCCACTTAATTTATAATGGATTATCTCATATCGTGACATTGTTTATTTAAGATCTGCACAGTATCTTACTACATCGAGAGATTAGGAGTGGTTGAATGATGTTTTCTGTGAGGTTAATGTTAATTTTTATGTGAACTACTTTAAGATCAGTTGTAATACTTTCAAATGAAAAAAAATATGCAATGCAGTTTTTTTTTTTTTTTTTGGATGGTCCCCATTAGTCTATTGACTATAAGCAACTTTGTAACTACAGTACATGCCAACCAACTCTTATTTAGAGTATTAGTAGACTTAGGTTAAGGTTATGGTTGGTAGAATAAGTTGACGTACTTGCAAAGTTGCTAATATTCAGTTGGGAAACCATCAAAATAAAGTGTTAGCAGATGTTTAGCAGACATACTACTAACACTCCAATGACTGCCAGTTGACATGTAGTTGCAAAGTTACTTATCAACAGTTAGGGTACCATAAAAATAACCATACTGATATTACAATAAAAATAGTTCAAAGCAAATGTTTACACATTCATCATTGTATGGCTGTTTGAGAAAAAATATTATTATTATTATTATTATTATTATTTATACGTGGTCTTTGTCTGCTTTAAGTAAAGTGAAGTTACTTTACTTAAAGCAGACAAAGACCACTTATAAATAATAAGACCACATTATAAAGCAGTTTGGATGGTTTCATGAAGACTTTGTATTTGTCCTTTACAGTAAAAACACTAATAAGTTATTGTGCAGATCTTAAACAATGGCAAGATATAAGACTTATAATATATTATAACTATGGGAAATATAATTCATTGTAACTTAAGTGGATGCAACATGTTCATTGTGTGTTATAAATCATCATACTCTTAAAAACTATAACCACAAATAAGTAAGTATTATAATACATTAAAACTGTTCTTATGACTATTTATGAGATGATACAACATTTTCATTCATTATAATGCCTTATTAATAACCTTATAATGTATTATAAATATGGGCTTCATAGAAAGTGTTACCAAAATTTGTTAGACTCTATTTGACCAATGCCTGACCCACCTCATATGCTGCCCTGTGAGATCATTGGCTACGTTTGCAATCATTCATCTATAATAATTTTGCATATAAAAGAGCAAATACTTCATTAGGTGCATTTGGCAAATATAGTTGAGCTCAATCTTTGAGATGCTTCTGTTTCTTTACATTCTCCTGTGTTTCTTTCAGCTTCAAGCAAAGGTGGGAAACACTCCTTGCCGAATGATGGGAGAACCTAAGCACCCTCTGCTTTTCAAGGATGGAGACGTAACTATTGGGGCACTTTTTCCAGTACACAGCATAGAGACATTATCTTCATTCAAGTTTACACAAAAACCTCAGTTTCTATCATGCTCCAGGTTTGTTATAATGTTATGTGGAATTTAGTATGTAAATGCATGTCTTTTACTTCAACAATGTCTTTATCTGTTTATACATTTAGTTGATATTAGCTGATTTGCTGATTTTCACAGTGTGAATCTGAGAGATTTCCGGCTAGCTCAAATCATGATTTTTGCCATTGAAGAGATTAACAGAAGTGAAAGTTTGCTCCCAAATGTTTCTATTGGCTACAGAATTTATGATACCTGTAGTTCAAGAATGTCTTCTATGAGTGCAACTGTCGGACTGATGAATGGTCTAGAGATTGAAGCAGGGGACACATGCAGTGGACAGTCTCCTATACATGCTATCATAGGAGAAACAGAGTCTTCTGCCACCGTGATTTTGTCCAGAACTACAGGACCTTTTAAAATTCCAGTGGTAGGTGGAAATTAAAATAGGTTTAATTACCATATTGTGGACACATTTCATTGTTTCCTCTATTTTTTAATTTTTTTAGATAAGTCATGCGGCCTCCTGTGAGTGTCTTAGTAATAGAAAAGACTACCCCTCATTCTTCAGGACTATTTCTAGTGATTACCACCAAGGCAGAGCACTTGCATACATAGTCAAGCACTTAGGCTGGTCTTGGGTGGGAGCTGTGAACAGTGACAATGATTATGGAAACAATGGAATGGCCATATTTCTTAATACAGCTCAGAAGGAAGGTATCTGTGTGGAGTACTCTGTGAAATTCTACAGAACAGAGCCTGAAAAACTCAAAAAAGTGGTAGACACAATAAAAAAAGGTACCGTAAAAGTGATTGTTGCATTCATTTCATTTCTTGAGATGGGTTTATTAACTGAACAGCTAAGTATTCAGAACATAACGGGCCTCCAAATGGTCGGTGTGGAGGCATGGATAACTTCAAAGTCTTTGATCACTCCAACAACCTTTCGTGTGCTGGGAGGCTCACTGGGGTTTGCAATGAGAAAAATCAATATTGAAGGTTTTGCCGATTATGTTATAAAAGCATTCTGGGACACAGCTTTTCCATGCTCACATGGTCAAGGGAATGATTCTCAGATCAAAGTAAATTGCAGCAGCTATCAGGATCTGCTTGTGCTGAAAAATTACAATGAAGATGTGCCTGAACACAGATTTTCAAGCAACGCCTACAAAGCAGTTTATGCTGTGGCTCATTCACTACACAGTCTACTCAAGTGCAAAACACAAGAAGGCTGTGAGAACGGCCTGAAAATACAACCACAGCAGGTAAATAAATAAATAAACCAGAATTGAGCTAAACAGATAGAGATAAGTAGGTAACACTTTATAATAACTTTCATTAATAAATCATTAACAAACATTATAAAATGCTTAACAGATCATTAGATAATATATATTCACATAGCTAGAAATATGAGATAATGTGCTTGTTAATGTTAACAAATGTACTTATTTAACATTACCTAATGATTAACAGACAGACAGATGGTTTACAATGATTAAAAGCTTCATTACTAAATCATTAACAAACATATGATGCTTAACTGATCATTAGTCAATGCGTACAAATGTCATTAATCTTTTGATTCATACGATCATGCACTTTTAAAAATCTTCAAATGATTTTAAAGTAAATTATACAATGGTTACAAGCTTATTTGTTAATGTACTTTTGAATGCTAACAAATTAATCATCATTAAACTTCAGTTCACATATTACCTAATGTTCGTTTTTACATTTACAAATGTTGTGAAAAAAGAACTTAAGTAATTTTAAGCTCTTTACTATTCACTGAATTCATGTTAACACATTATTCATTAACTCATAACCACAGTCTGTAAAGGCCATATATTTGGTCTCTGTTTTAGTCTTCTACTATTTACACATCTTAACAAATCATTTATTAATTATTTGTTCATGTTTTTGCAGTACCCAATCTAAAGTGGAAACTATTCATCATTTGTAAATGTTTATAAATGTTTAATAATCATTCAGGACCTTAATGGGCATTGGACTTTTAGCTGCTGTAACAACGTTTGTGTAAAGGGTGGTTAGTTAAGTTTATGTAAATGCTTCTTAAAGACGTTACAAACGTTGTAATTTGGGTGCAAAACATGTTTTTATTGCCTCAACACTTATATTAGTATACTGTATCGTTAAACAGGGTGTTCCTTGAATCATAAATCAGCAGGAGAAAAAAAATCAATTTTTCAAGAAAATACTTGTTTATTTATCAAAACATACTATAACATAATTGAACCATGTTCCCTCATAGTAATCAAACTGACCTCTCTACACTTCTGACCCCTTACCCAACCCTTAAACCTACCCATACGACCAACCCCTAACCTTACCCATATCACACCTCAATAGCAGCAAAAGTGTTGTACATTAACAAAAGCTTTTAATCATTGTATAACATATGTTCAAATTATTTGTAGATTTTCAAGAAGTGCATGATCATATGAATTAAAAGTTTAATGACATTTTTCAGCATTTAAATTTACATTAATTATCTGTTGATTATTAGGTAATGTTTAATAAATTTAGTAATAGTATAGCATATATTAACTAACAATTTGTTAAGCATTGTATAATGTTTGTTAATGATTTATAAATGAAAGTTATTATAGAGTGGTACTGATAAGTATTTCTGGTTGACATTGTATTACAATTTGTCAATTACATCTAATTTGTCTTTTCACTAGGTGGTTGAGGCTCTGAAAAAGGTAAATTTCACTGTAAAGTTTGGAGATCATGTGTGGTTTGACAGCACTGGTGCCACAGTAGCCCAATATGAAGTTGTGAACTGGCAGCAGGATTTTGATGGATCAGTCCGATTTAAACCAGTGGGATACTATGATGCCTCACTGCCTCCTGACCAGCGCTTTGTGGTTAAAACTGAAAACATACTTTGGGCTGGAGGACAGCTGGAGGTAAATGCCAATAACCTTTTTATTTTTATTTTTTTATTATTTTTTGTTTAAACTGGGCTGCCAAAATCTAAAAAATGCAAATGCTAGCACTGACATCTAATACAAAAGGAGAATATTACACTATAAGTAAATGATTATTATTAAGATAAAAAATAACAGTGACCTCAACCATTTTGCAAATGTATTTTTTTTTTCAAGAATAAAGACCAAGTTATATACTTTGATAGAGTAGAAAATGTAGACGGCGTTGAAAAACATACACACACACAAAAGTGTACATAACTATATTTTTCGATGTAGAAGCCAAGGTCTGTGTGCAGTGAGAGCTGTCCTCCAGGCACTAGGAAGGCTGCACAGAAAGGAAGACCTGTCTGCTGTTATGACTGTATTCCATGTGCAGAAGGAGAAATCAGTAATGAGACAGGTAAACTTCAATCAATCTCAAAGTTCCAAAGAAAATTGGTTAGTTGCTCTTTTTGTGGTTTTCTTTTGCTCTTCAGGGTGCAGTTTTTTATCAAAGGAGTTCATAAATAAAATAATTTTGTTTTTATCTCTAACCATAGTAAACACAACTTCCTTTCCAGATTCAAATAACTGCAGGCAGTGTCCAGGGGAATACTGGTCTAATGCTGAGAAAGATAAATGTGTGTTAAAGACTTTAGAGTTCCTCTCATTCACAGAAGTTATGGGTATAGTGCTAGTCTTTTTTTCACTGTTTGGAGCAGGATTAACTCTGCTGGTGGCCATCGTGTTTTACAGCAAGAAGGACACCCCCATAGTAAAAGCCAACAACTCAGAGCTGAGCTTCCTGCTGCTCTTCTCATTCTTTGGCTTACAATATCTCCTCCATTTCCCTCCAAAAATATGAAATATTATAAGGAAAGAATCATTCTTGAATGCAGTCTGGGTTCTACTATAGGTTTCTGGGCTGTGTTGGGTTATATTGGCCTACTGGCTGTTTTGTGCTTCATTCTGTCTTTTCTGGCTCGTAAGCTGCCTGATAACTTTAATGAAGCCAAATTCATCACATTCAGTATGCTCATATTCTGTGCTGTATGGATTACATTTATACCAGCTTATGTCAGTTCTCCTGGAAAATTTACTGTAGCTGTGGAGATATTTGCCATTTTTTCCTCAAGCACTGGTTTACTATTCTGCATATTTGCACCTAAATGTTATATCATCCTACTAAAGCCTGAACAAAATACAAAGCAACACATGATAGGAAAAACAACATCTAAGTTTTATTGACAAAGAATACAATATGTATATTAACACTGCAATATATATATATATATATATATATATTATTGGTTTAACGGTACATGTATTTGTCCCGAACCATCATGGTACGTATGTCACGGTTCGGTTCATGCAGTCAGAGGATGAATACAGTCAGTCATAGGCGATCAATCCAGAAGGGGGCGCTTGCAGTAATGCAACGCTAACCGTCACCACAGGAAAGAGCAGAAGAAGAGACGATCTATGCACCAATCCAAAACAAGAATGGCAAGTTCAGACGCCACAAAGAGCTTGAAGAACCGCCTGCTTGTTTTAAATTAGCAGTGTGGGAAAGTTTGGGGTTCTAGAGATGCGGCTGTAAATAAGAACCGTTTTTTTGTTTTATTTTGGCCGATCACTCTTCCAAAATTGCACACAAACTGCATTGCCATCATTTCCCAAAATGTAATTTGTGTGGAATTTTTATGAGGTCTGTAAAGAGGAGAAAGTACTGTACCAGGCAGATAAAGCTCACTGGTCACGATGCTTGAAATATAGAAAGACAAATATGTGGGGGTTTATATGAATGTATCTTTCAAAGGAACTGACCGTCTCCAGAAATGCTTTGATGGCATTTTCTTTTCCTCTTACCTCCATATAATGCCCAAGGAAACGCTGTATCACTATTGTTCCATAAGCGCCACCTGCTGTCATTTTCATTCAGTCCGTCAGCTGTTTTTGTTTTGTGCAGGTGTCTTGTGTAGCTTAATTTAACAAATCAAAAGTTCTGTTTTTGCTTTAAATCTTGAAATTATACAATCTAATTAAAATCAAAAACAACTGCTAATGCTACATGTAGCATTACTGTCTGTTCAAAAATAAAAATACATTTCCTGTTGTACCAAACTTGTATCGAACCGTGACCCCAAAACCGTACGTACCAAACCATGACTTCTGTGTACCGTGTACCACAAGCTTCTAGAGGGCTAACTCTGAAGTAATGAATTTAGGTAGATGGGTGCAGAGCCAGTGGTGGTTTTGTAGGCAAACATTAATGCCTTGAATTTAATGCGAGCAGCTACTGGTAGTCAGTGCAAATTGATGAACAGAGGTGTGACATGCGTTCTTTTCGGCTCATTAAAGATTAATCTTGCAGCGGCATTTTGGATTAATTGTAGAGGTTTGATAGAAGTGGCTGGAAGACAAGCCAAGAGAGCATTGCAATAGTCCAGCAATATATACAATACAACAATATATTATATAAATATATATATATATATATGCAAGAAAGTGTGTGTGTGTGGAAGATGAAGTGTAAAGGGGTTTGGTGTCTCAGGTCTGTGACACTGAGATGTGACATGTTGTAACCTGAAAATCAGGCTGACGCAAAGGCTTACTTTAGTTGCATGCACTCACCTGAGAGGAAATTTCATAGGTGTATCCACAAACATGGAAAGACGCAAATAAGAAACCCTTTATTTAAAACCCAGAAGATACACCATTTTAGTGTCATAAATATCAAGGGGGTAAAATTGTCAACAACAAAGGGAATGAACAAAACACATGATGCAACTGACTGTTAAATAAGGTGTGATTATTGAATTGTTTACGGTTTGTTTCTAAAATGTCACAAGGATGATTTACAATACAAATTGTGAATGAGGTGCTGAAGGGGGGTTGGGTTTGGGTGAGTGACCGTGTAAAGACACACACACACACATACATACATACATACATATATGTATAGTATGCATGAAAATGCATCTATTAAAGACATCTTATAGATTTAATATGGGCTGCTTTTGGTGCTTCACACCTTTTTATTGGTCATTTTGTGTTTCAAGAATAAGGCCCAAGGTTGAGAATTATGCTATTAGTTACTTAAATATAAAAATGTTTTTCTCTATTTAGCCAGAATTTAACCAGGCCCGGACTGGCCATCGGGAGCACCGGGAGAATTCCCGGTGGCCTGGCACCTGATTTGGCCCGCTGCCCTGTTTTTTTTTTGTTATTATTATTATTATTAATATTTTATATGTATGCCTTCTCAATGTAACGAAGTGATCATTTCCGATTTTTTCATTCGATAATAAATCATAAATTGGTTAGTCTTGACTGGCAGCGCTGCACTATACGAATCAGTTCACGTCTGTTCCGCGCTTCCGTCAAACAATTCCGAGCAACACCGATGCGTGGGACTTGATGAAAGAGAGAAAGCGGCCAGAAGAAGCAGTGAAATGTACCAACATCACTGACCTGTTCAGGGCTTCAAGTGCAGGTCAGTTTCATCTGTAAATACGCTAGATAGTCTAATTTTGTCTTTATTAACCTAGTTGAGTATTAAACTGCTAGTATCAGTACTAGCACCCCATTATTATCATCATTCAGAATACTGTGCTAAAGGACATCAATATCGATTGTAAAATACATTAAAAAAATTTAGCAGAGACAGATATTCACGTGGATTTATTGTACAGGGAGGGAGGGAGCTAGAGCAGACAGCAACACAAAAATAATATTGTAACAACAATAATATTGTGAAAACATTTTTATTATTTAAGATAACTGATTTCTATTTGAATATATTTTAAAATGTAATTTATTCCTGTGATTTCAAAGATGAATTTTCAGTATCATTACTCCAGTCTTCAGTGTCACATGATCCTTCAGAAATCATTCTAATGCTGATTTGCTGCTCAAAAAACATTTTATTATTATTATTATTATTATTTTGTTGAAAACAGAGTCGATTTTTTTCAGGTTCTTTCATGAATAGAATGTTCAGAAGAACAGCATTTATCTGAAATAGAAGTCTTTTGTAACATTATTAACCCTTTAGGCGCCAGAGATTTTTGGAAAAATGCTGGATTTTTTTACATCAATATTTCAAAAGCTTGTGGCTTGAAAGGGCTTAAAGATAGAGATCTACTGTAAATTAGAAAAATGTTGGGCATGACCGAAAGTTTATGTGGGGTGTAAATATACTCATGTAATTTGCATATTATGACGTCATCAGTAGGGTTGGGTATCGTTTTGTTTTTTTTCGATACCAGTGCCAAATCGATACTTTTAAAATGGTTCCAGTGCCTAAACGGTGCCTGAACGATACTTATTAAAAAATAAAAAAATAAAAATTCCCCCCAAAAATGATGGATTGGCCATTAGAATAGAAATAGAATAGAGAGTGCAAATGTTAGAGGGTCAAGTTTTTTAATTAAAAAAAACAAGCAGATAAAATTAGAAGTAGCATTAGAATAGAGTGCTAGAATTTTATAATATTATTTGCATGTACACATGTGAACAGTAGCCTACTGTTTGATCAGTTCATCAGTAATATTCAGGAAATAATAGATATTGAATGGATGTTTGAACTTATTTGCATGTTTATTTTGTCTTTTTATCCTCATTCCAAATGATCAGGAAAAGAGGAAATCAACAGTAAAACAGGAGAAAGTAGTAAATTATTACTATATTATTGTGCAATAGTAAAATGCATGTGCCTATTCAGCTGTTGGGAGTTTAGAAACAGATGGGCATATCTGTTGGTTTCATTTGTAATGAGGTTCCAGAAGTCATCAGTCAGAAAGAGGGACAGAAAGTCTAAGGGTGCAGCACTGGTCAAATCTTTCTCTCCTAGATAAACAACAGGCTCATCAAAGCGTTTAATCCAGTCCTGATACAGTTCTTCATTTCTCAAATAAACCCAGCCACCATTGACATCGCTATTTCCAGCCCTATGTAGATCCAGATCACCCCAGCTGCCTCTACCACGTCTCCCGGCTCTCCCACGCACAGCACGGCCACGTGTACCGCGGTCATTCCCACCTCTTTGGGGCACTGGATCCAGAGCCGCTCTGACTGGATCCAAAGAGCTAGTGCTACTTCCAGCCCTATTTCTCCTACCCCTGCTGCCTCTACCTCTAGCAACAGCTCTCCTATGGATACTACGACCACGTCCACCCCTGCCACCCCAATCCCCGTTGGGCAAAGGGTCGAAATTATCACTTGTTTGTGCTTCGTGAACAGTGTTGGGCAAGTTACTTCCAAAATGTAATACATTATATATTACTAGTTACTGTCTTTTGAAAGTAATTAGTTACATTACAATATTACTGTCTCTGAATTGTAATGCATTACACTACTTTTGAGTTACTTTTGAGTTACTTTCATCCAAAATATCCACATAAGTATTGTAAAATGCCAAAATGTAGTTTAATGCTGCTCATTCTACATCCAGTGGAGGGTAATGTGGTAGGTCTATATAGCATAAAATATGAAATCATATTTAGATACGATGACCGATCGTCATTTCTAAAAGGCAAATATTCCCCTTCAGAGCCAGAATCGGCGAATAACATTTGCAACACATCCTCAACTTTTTATTAGCCATTTAGCTATTTTCTCTCAAAAATCTCACAATTTACTCGCACGCTATGAACTGAACTGCTTCCGCATCAATGACACGATAGCTCACTTGCTCTGCTATTTCCTCGAACACTTTGAATAGGAACATGACATAATTTTGGTCTAGAATCGAAGTACTACATGTCTGCCATCTAGTGGTAGTGAATACAAATGAGATATTACACCATATTAGGAACTACAGTCTATTTTATTAAGTATGACGTCTTGTCACAATTGTGAGAC